ATTTGTCATCACCTGCCCTTGATGTTGGCATCTGGTGATAAGCTTTAAATAGCCTCAGAAAGCTAGCTTCTGCCCACAGAGCACACCAGGTGAGTAACCATGGTTGCTGGCCACTGAGAATGGGTAGGTTCAGTGAGTGAGCACAGCCCACACTGCCCATTACAGTTCTGCAGCTGTGGGTGTGGGAGGTGGGTGTTGTGTGGTGAGGGGTGTGTTGTCCCTCTTTGCTCAGGAGATCAGCTTTCCTCTTGACAGTCTCTGAGACCGCAAGCCTAAACATGGTCTCCACCAGACAGCGGGCTTATTGCAAGAAGACCGTGGCAACCCAGACAGGGTGCCTGCCCAGAAATGTAGCTGTTCAGGTCTCCAGCTGCAGGGAGTGCCTCAGCCTGCTGCTGCCCAGGGAGGGTAGCAGGGATTCCACCTGTGTTAGGTGTGAGCTGGTGGATGAGCTACTCAGCCTGGTGATGGAGCTCAAGGAGGAGGTGGACAGGTTAAGGACCATCAGGGAGTATGAGTAGGAGATTGACTGGTGGAGTGACTCACTGGTGTGATGGAGGGAAGGGTGCCTGGGAGATAACAGCAGAAAAGATGTTGACCCCCTGCCCTGTCACAGTCGGACAGACTTGACAGATGAGGAGGATTAGAAGAGTCCCGACTTGATGTCACAGGAGCCCCCCTGCCTGCCTATACCGCTTCCCCAGCTCCCACTCAGCAACAGTTTGAGATGCTGGAAATTGAAGGGGAGATAAGTGGGGAGGCAATGGAGGAAGAGGGGAGCCTAAGGCGAGGCAGTCACCCCCATGCCTTGAGATTGCCTCTGTCAGGAAAGAGAGAAATATGGTCATGGTGGGTGACTCCCTTTTCAGAAGAACAGAGGGCCCCATATGCCGGACCCAAGCCATCAGGAAGTGTGCTGCCTTCCTGGGGCCTGGTTCAGGGACATAACTAGAAAACTCCCAAAGCTAGTTAGGTCCACTGATTACTTTCCATTATTTCAGGTGGGTAGTGATGAAATCACTCAGAGAAGCCTACGAACTATAAAAAGAGATTTCAGGGGTTTTAGGCATTTAGTTCAAGGTGCAGGAGTGCAAATGATCTTTTGTTCTATACCTTCAGGGGCAGTGAAGGACATGGAGCAGGCTTAAAAAGCGCAGGTAATGAATAATTGGCTCAGAGGCTGATGTTGAGGCAGAAGCTTTGGGTTCTTTGATCATAGGGCAGTTTACTCGGTCCCTGGCCTGTTGTCCATGCAGGGACAAAAAAAGGGGGAAAAGAAACCTACCGCAGGAGCTATCAGGGCTTATTTAAAGAGCTTTAAACTAGCTATGACAGGGAAACAGGGCTCACCAGAGATGCGCCTAGGGGAACAATGCTTAGCTGGGGGTGAGGCAGATGACTCAGCTGAAGCAGGAGGAGCTGGAAGCGATTGTGCGGCCGGCTAAATATGACCTAGTTGCTATTACCAAAACATGGTGGGACCACTCTCATGACTGGAATGCTGTGATGGATGGCTACAAGTTCTTCAGAAGGGATAGGCAAGGAAGGTAGGGTGGTGGTGTGGCCCTTTGTATTAAAAAGAGTATTTTGATGTTGAAGACCTTGGGGTTGGGAATGATAAAGTTGAATGTCTATTGATAAGAATCAGAGGGAAGGCCTGTAGGGGCGACATCTTGATGGGGGTCTGTTACAGACCACATAATCAGGATGAAGAGAAGGATGTGGCATTCTATGAGCAGCTTGCGGAAGTTGCGCAATCACCAGCACTCATTCTCATGGGAGACTTCAACTTCCCTTATATATGTTGGAAATACAATACAGTGCAGAGCGCAGAGGAAGCAGTCCAAGACGTTTCTAGAGTGCGTGTAGGATAGCTTCCTTACACAGCCAGCACGAGAGTTTACCAGGGGGGTGCCTTGATAGACCTGCTATTCACTAACAGAGAAGGACTGGTGGGAGATGTGAAGGTTGGGGACTGTCTTGGACAGAGCGACCATGAAATTGTAGAGTTCTCTATTCTTAGCAGTGTCAGAAGGGTGACTAACAAAACTGCTATTTTGACCTTCAGGAGGGTGGACTCTGTTCTGTTCAGGACATTTGTAGCACAGGTCCCTTGGGAGTCACTCCTTAAGGGTAAATGGGTCCAGGAATGCTGGATGCTTCTCAAGATGGAAATCTTAAAGGCACAAGAACAGGCTATTCCTGAATGTCATAAGGTGAGCCATAGGGGAAGAAGACCATTGTGGATAAACTGGGAACTATTGTTGAGACTCCAGAGGAAAAAGAGAGTCTATGTCCTCTGGAAGAAGGGACGGGGTACTTGGGGAGATTACAAGGAAGTTGCTAAGGTATGCAGGGAGGAAGTTAGGAAGGCAAAAGCCCAACCTGAACTCAGATTGGCTACTGCAGTAAAAGAGAATAAGAAATACTTTTACAAATGTATCAATGGCAAGAAAAGAACCAAGGAGAATTTCCATCCTTTACTTGATGCAACGGGGAATGTGACCACTGAGGATAAGGAGAAGGTTGAGGTCCTCAACGCCTTCTTTGCATCTGCCTTTAATAGGCAGATCAGTTATCATCAGGGCACTTTACAGCCTGATATGGAAGCCTGGAATGCTATGCAGAATACACCCCTGGTGATTCAGGTGGACAGAGTTAGAGAGCTCTTCATCCATCTGGACTGTCACAAGTCCATGGGACTGGACGCTCTCCATCATCTATGTGTGCTCCTGCTTATCTGGAGAGATCCCGGAGGATTGGAGACTTGTTAGTGTGACTCCCATCTACAAGAATGGCCATAAGGAGGATTCCGGAAACTACAGGCCTGTCAGCCTGACCTCGGTACCAGGGAAAGTTATGGAGCAAATCATCTTGGGAGAGATCACATGACATGTGAGTGGCATCCAGAGGATCAGGCCCAGCCAGCACAGGTTCGTGAAAGGCAGGTCGTGCTTGACCAACATCATCTCCTTCTACGACTGGGTGACCAGCCTGGCAGATGAGGGAAAGGCTGTTGATGTAGTCTGTGTAGACTTCAGCA